TTATAATTTGCATATTCAATTCCTTTCATGCATATATATCTTTTTGTAAATTATTTATCATCATCAAAAAGAGGGAGATTGTTGAGTCCTTTTGTTTTGATGATGATTTACAAATAATTTACTTTTAATGTTATTTGTCTAGTATTTATATTTTGTATTTATTCTAGGCAAATAATAAGTTGGATGTTGGTTGGATTGCGTCGTCACGATGATATCAAAAGGAGGTTAGCGGAATATCGGAGTGAAGCCAATGCATTCAAGTCAAGTTCAAGTTCAAACTTTATCCGCAATCAAGATGAGCTTAATGAAGATCAATTGCCTTGTGTATATTAGTTTAGATTTATGCTCTGTGTGCTTATGCTGTAAGCTCAAATGGTGCACGTACACGTTTTCTTGATTTATTGACTATTATACATACATTTGAGATAATAACGTGTTTTCAGATTATTGACTTAATATAACTGTTTTACATCTTTTATAAAGTCTATTAATCCATTTAAAAGAAGTTTCAAACTTGTTTGAACTCGTTTTGTCAAAATCAAGTTTTAATAAGTTTATGTCCGTGCATGTTTTTTGCAAAATAGATGAGTTTTCACAATTGGAAAATGAAATTTAAAAAATTTATTTTTTTACATATTTATCTTCATATATATAAACATTTCCCTAATTTTTACTAATTTTGGAGTTGTTTTGTTATTTTCAATTGAATTTACAAAAATAAGTTTTTAGTAGTTTTTCAGAAACTGTAATATTTGTGTCCAAAAAATTATTTCTCATAAATGGGAAGTGATATTTTAGAAATTCTTTCTCTAACATGTTTAACTACATGTATAGAAACTTCCCTCAAAGTTTTACGATTTTTAGAGTTGATTTACTATTTTTAATATATTTTATAATACAAGATACGTAAAATTCCAGAATCTACCAAAACTATTCAACGGTCGACTTCATCAGTCGACTGATGAAGTCATCAGTCGACTGATGACATGTTTTCAGTCTATAACAGCTAGTTTTCTAGATTTTGTCTTTTTATGATTTTTCTTGGATTTTTAATGGTTTTTGGGGTTGTTTGATAACCCTATAAATACATCATGCCCTTATACTTCTAAACCACCCAAGAGAATTGTTTAAACAAGTTTAAGGGTGTTTTGTGTTTGTTTAAAAGAGTTTTTACAAGATTTATTTTGTGAAGAATTTTTTACAAGGGCTTGAGGAGATCATCAATTGTGTTTGGGCATTCAACTCATCTTCCTCTCTCTCTTGTCATCATAGAGAAGTTTTTCTAATTTCATTCTAGCTATTTATTGTTTTGTTTATAATTTCCATAAGCTAGATTTATATTTAGTTTTGTTTGTTTTATTTAATCTCTTTGTTACACACACCCACTTGAGCTTATTGTATTTGCATACATAGTATAATTTGGGGTTGTGGGATTGTGACATTGAGAGTGAGCTTTCATTGTGTTCTCATCTATTCTAGAGAACAAATTATTGTATTCGTGCTTAATTATGTAGATCACTTTGTAATACACTTGTACACCGAGAAGAGTGTGTGGTGAGAGACGGGGTCATCCTAAGAGGAGTGGGGTAGGTGGTAATGTCTAAAGGTAGGTTATAATTCCTAATACTTGAGGAAGACATGGGCTAGAGACCAACACTTAGAGGGTGTAAAGTAGAATTGCAAGAGTGTGAGATTGTAATGTTTTCGGTGAACTAGAAAACCGAGTGTGAGGTGTAAACGTTATTCGGGTAAGCGTAGAAAACCCGGTTGTGATAGTGGATTTCTCTCTGGGAGTGGGTAGCGGAGACACAGGACGGAAGGTCCGAACTCCGTGATCATTTGATTATATTTGAGTTTGCATTGGCGTTCATTTATATTTGTGTTCATTGCTCATATCGTCATTGTTTTATTATTTAGTTTGTCCACTATATTGTTTATATCTTTTTTCACCCTTGTGTTTGCTTCATATCCTTGCATATATATCTTGTAGTATATCTAATTTACTAGGATATTTGTTAATAAGTTTTAATTGGTATAAAATCGGATTTGATTAGCATAAACCCTATTCACCCCTCTAGAGTTCTATCCTAGTGGCATTAGGGTACTTTCAGATAGGAATGAAGGTATCCACCCCTATTTATACTACTCCACCTTCATAATGCGTGGCAGGGATTAATTTAATCCAAGGGTGGACATTAGCTCTCTAGAATTCTCGACACATATATTTACTTTCTAGAGATTTCTAAGGAATCTCTACACTCCAATTTATTCCATACTCTTCCAGAATGTTCCACAGAAGGCTCTATAAATCTCTAGAATATTCTAGAGGATTCCACACACTTCTAGAGAATTCTACACTTCTCTAAAGTTCTCCAGAAAGTTCTAGAATTTTTTAGAATTTTTTAGAATTTTCTAGAATCTTCCCAATTAAGGAGGAATCCCAACATTTATTCAAATTTCTACCGTTGCTCCATAGTGATAAACGGTCAAACTTCTTTTATAATTATTTCCTCTCCCTTTTCCTCCTCTACACCCCAATTTGTGGAGGGGACAAAATGATCATGTTTTTATATGAATTTCCCCTTCCTTATCATACATTACCCCTCTAAAAAAACTCATAAACAAAGGAGATAAGCCGCAACCTTTTCATCTCCTTTTAGCTGAAAACGAAAATAATAAAATAACTAATCAAAACCTTGAAATTGAAGAAATTTAATCAAAAAATACAAAAGAAAGAAAAAGATTGGATGTTAGAGTGTTTGGGCTTGGAAGCAGTTGATGAAGAGGACGAGGTTAAAGGGAGAGACCATTTAGAAGACACCCTCGTTTCCCCATGGTTGTTGCTTTCTTCAGATTCCTCTCTTCTCCGCTTTTGTGTGTGTGTGTGTGTGAGAGAGAGAGAGAGAGAGAGAGAGAGAGAGAGAGAGAGAGAGAGAGAGAGAAGTCAAAATTAGGATAGTGAGAAAGATGGGATTTCAATGGGTTGAGAGAGATTAGAAATGAGATCCGAAAATAAACAATAATACTAAACTTTTGGGTGCTACTGTGCTTATCTACCATGGTAAACCCATTAGTTTTAGTTAAATATAAATGTTATTTTTCTTGTTTCAATAGTATTTTTTGTCTAAAATAAAATACCATGTGTTTAAAAACTATATGATATTTTTTGAGCTAAAACATCCTCAAACTAAAACACAGCATAGTATTATGAATTATTAATATATTATTAAAGTATTATTTATATACTATAAATATCTATTAAAAACTATAATATGTTATATAATGTTAAATTATTAATAATATATTAATTTATTAATAGTATACTAGTAAAAGCATAATATAATATTATATTAATAGTAAAATAATATTAATTTTATAATATTGTATAATATATAACAATAAAAAATTGATATACTAAAATAATTAATTATGAAATTATTTGAAAAACAAGTAATAATTATAATATAATAAAGTACAATATAATATTATGATATATTATTTTATGATATATTTTACTATATAATAATAATAATATAATAATGTAAAATAAATTTAACATTTTAATTATAATATAGTCTATCATACTTAATATTTAATATATTAATGATATATTTAATAGTGCTGATAAAAAACTCTTACCATGATATTTTGAAAATAATTAGGGGGGAACACAACACCATGGTGTTTTTTTTAAAAAATACACCAAAGAAAATACCATGATATCTAAACGAAGCCTAAGAAAACAGTTTGAACAGAATTTGAACTGCATAACTAAATGAGTCACTTAAATGTACAATGAAATTAGAGTACAAAATATACCAACACGTTGTCGGCCTAGTGGTAGGCAAATTGGTCCCTAGGCGGGCTCCTTTCTGTTGGTATGAGTTCGAAACCTGGAAGCGACACTCGCTGGGAGGGGTAGGAATTAGTCCCAAGCAGGATTAGTTCCATCTCTAATATAGGCTGGGGACACGTGTGGTTAGAAGACCAAAAAAAAGTAGCAAAAAAGCTTCGACCTTGGCAACTTTTGCTGAAATTCCTATCTAACGCTCTTGTTATGCAATGCTATGGTCGTCATGTTACTTACACAAAGTTAAAAATAATACAAAGCTTAGTACTATTTAATCATAATTGTCCATTATTAAGTGCAGTACACAGAGGACATGATACGAGCTACAATCTAACAAGAACTACAACTGTTTGGAAAATAACGAATGATTATGATTAAAGTAGAGATCTCTCTACTGCATTTTAACAGCAAAAAAGATCCAAATCTAATTAGAATTTTCTCTCGTTGAAACACATTGGTTAGAATCTTATCCCATTTTCACTATATTCTTCTACCCACGTATTGTTACATTGTCATGTTTAGTGGGATGAACTTATACTTCCCTTTTTTTCTCCCTCTCAATTTTTTGATAATGTCATCCAACAACCATTGCTATTTATAGTATCTTACATCCATTAGGTTAAATATGGATTTGATTAGTGAAAAGAAAGATATGATTTAGCCCCACATTGAAAAGAGTAACATGAATATATAGATATTTAAATTTGTTTGCATTCATGACTCAAATAAGATTGAACATTCTGAGTCAATTGGGCACAAACACATATCCCAATGCATCTTCTTAAACCTAACAAATTGGTATCAAAATCCATGCTTCGATGGCTCTTTGTTGGATGCTCTGCAATTGCTCCGATTGATTTGTTGCATGTGTTAGAGCTCACCATGGAGTGAATGTGATGTTACATTTTTCCTTGGGCATAACTATGTTTGTCAACGAACTAGTTGAGCCATTGTCTCCATTGGCCCATCTATTTGAACTCGAGTTGTTCTCGATTGAATCAGAGTAAAGGTGGAGATTTGCAGAGTGTGTCTTGCATCCATTCGGTTAAGTGTGATATTGGTTAGTAAAAATTTATAAAATAAGATTTAGCCCTAATATTGAAAAGAGAATAAAATGAAAAGATGATTAAATATGCATGCTAGTCTCATAATATTGCAAATGTGTTAGTGGCTTTATTGAAAAAAATAAAAAACGAAAAAGAAGAACATTACAAAACTAACACAAAACAAATTAGTCAAACACACTCCAACTATCTTTGAACACATGCAAGATAGGTGTAAGAGACATTATTGCCCTATCTTATTGTCTTTCTCCACTGGTCAATCTAAACGGCGCCATGGCGATTCATGGAGTCAAGAAAATCGACCTGGCCTTCAGAGAGGCCGCTGCCGGAGAGAGTCGGAGCATCGGTGGCCCCTGCGCCTCGCTGTGTTTCGGCTACGGGGAGGTGGCCCCGTGTACCGTAGGCATTTTGCTTGTAATCTTCAATGTCGGAGTATTTAACGTAAGGGCTGCTCTCCAAGGGGAGCTCCGCCTTCTCCTCCCTCTTCTCCTGCTGCTGCTGCTGCTCGCTTGTCGACATTTTTGTTTGTTTGAAATTTTGTATGAATAATCAAGAGAAGTTTGAATGGTTTAAATGGGTATAAAGGAAGGTTGAAATTAATTGTTATTCCACTAAAATTTTGGCGGATAATCTTGTAAGTTGTTGTCTCAACCATCCGCTATTTTTAATTGTGGGAATTTGGGCGTTGTTATCTTGTGGACCTGATAGAATTGTTGACTTGGTTGTGCGTTTACATTCTATTTTTGAAACATTTCACGTAAAATCTTCTGGACCTATGATCCTTTGACTACAAACAGACTGCTTTTTATTAGATTACAATTCAATTTAACATTACATAAACATATCCAACCTCTAAATAGCACACATCAAGCTGCGTATTATATAAAATTCCATTAATTTATTCCTTTCACTAGTAGAAAAACGATCAACCTAGACGGAAATTTCCGTCTAGGTTGATTGCAATTCCGTCTAGATTAGTTCATCTAGACGGAATTCCGTCTAGTTTGATTGGTTTATTTTGCTTCCGTCTAGATTGCTTCAAACTAGACGGAATTCCGTCTAGATTGATCAATCTAGACGGAAGTCAACCTAGACGGAATAAAGAATTCTGTCTAGGTTGGCAACCCAGACGAAATTATTAGTACTTGTAGTCCAAATATGTAATTTAATTCAAATGGGGTGACTCACTATCGAAAATATATAATAATCCACTGAGTTTACCATGTGATCACATGGGGGTGTGGGGCCCACTCACGCTCTGTTGCCCACAATTCCGCGTGAAGAAAAGAAGCCGGAGGACGCGGTTTTTTATTTTTTCCGCGTGAAGAGAAGCAAGGCCCACGAACCGCAACCACTGCTATAAATAACAACTTGATTTCTTCTCCTAGGTTTTTTGGTGCAAGGAGAATTTGTGAAGTTGTGCAGCTGCAGAGCAAGTACGAAAGCAAAGGAGATTTGGTTAATTACAGCTACAGGGATTCCTTTTGGAGGCTGCGTGCGCAAGTGCAGAAGAAAATTGTGGCGGCTGGTTTTGAGAAGCCGCTGATTTTTCAAGTTTTTGTGAATCCTTTTGAGAGAGATATTTGTGTAAGAGGTTTGATAGTTTGTGTGAGGGTTTAGATTGAGTGATTGTAAACCCTAAATATATTCTCCCCTCTAGTAGTAGATCTCCCCCCTCCTTGTCCCGTGGACGTAGGTAATTTGTCGAACCATGTAAAATTGGTTATCTCGCTATTTGTGTGATTTGTAATAACTTTTAGGTTCCCTCGACAGGTCAGTCCTAGAACTGATGAGAAGAAGAGCTGATATCTCACTTGGTTGAGATATTTTACTTAAGGTTCTTGTTTCCTTTATGAAGAGGGAATTCCTATTGCGACCTGACTCTCTTGTTGTGCTGCCGAAGTGCTGCCGAAATTTCCGCTGCGCGCAACAAGTGGTATCAGAGCCTAGATTTCAGATCTAGGGTGTTTTGGATTAGGTGGAGGAAGATTCAGTTGGAAGCTTGGTTCTTAGAGTTCTAGGCTTCGGTGGAGATAGAATTTGAAGTTGCCGTTGAAGATTTCGCTTTACTCGTGTGGATAGGAGATCTATTTGGAATCCGATCTAGGGTTCAGTTGGGTGGTTCATAATTTCTATCAAATTTATTCTTTCTCTACAATTTGGAGTTAGTTAGAAATGGGAGAAGAAGGTAAAAGCAGCAAGTCGATGGCGAGTACAATACAAGTTGGTTTTCAGAACACTAAGATTAGTGTGGTGAAGTATGACGGTAAAATCAACTTTGGTTTGTGGATGAGCGACGTACAATATGCGTTCAATGCTCAGAATTTGGAAGAGACCATCATGGTCCACGAGAGGCCACCTAAATATGAAGAGGCGGTATGGGAGAAGATGAATAGGAACATTTGTGGGGTGATCAGGTCCTGTTTGGAATAGGAACTGAAATATGATGTGATTGGGGTGACGTCTGCAATGAAGATGTGGGAAATTCTCAACAACAAGTATCTCACGAAGAGTGTTGAGAATAGGTTGCACTTGCTGCTTAGACTCTTCAGATTTCAAATGTCCAGAGGCACCTCACTAGCGATGCATGTGAACAACTATACTAAGTTGTTGTCGGACTTGATGAATGTTGATGAGAATATATCGGATGAGTACAAGGCGATTATTTTGTTGGGCTCCTTACCGGATGAGGAGTATGATACCTTCGTGCTCACTTTGTTGAACGGGAGATCTTCTATCAGCTATAGTGAAATGACTAACGTATTGACCAATTACGATTTGAGGAGGAAGGACAATGAGACTTCCCGTGCTAGTACTTCAGGCGAGGCCTTGTCGACGAGAGGTAAATGCCCATATCCGAAAGGTGGTAATAGAGGGAGGTCAAAGTCAAGAAGCCGCCACCAATTAGCAAAGAACCAATATATATTCTGCAAGAAGCAGGGACATTGGAAGAGAGACTGCCCGAAACTCAAGGAGAAAGAGAATGGCAAGAAAAAGGGCCCAAAGGCCAATGAGGTGAATATTACGAAAGGCGATGATTCCGATGATTCGTGCTTTTCTCTACTAATTACTTCGGAGGTGAACCATGTGGATACATCAGATTGGATGCTTGATTCCGACGCTACTTATCATGTGACCCCTAGACGAAACTGGTTTGCATCTTTTGAGAAAGTCGACGGGGGTGTTGTTGTCATGGGAATTGATCAATCCTGTGGCGTTTATGGGATAGGTACCGTGCAGATTAGGATGCATGATGGAGTAGTCCGTGAATTGAAGGAGGTGAGATTTGTTCCTCAACTGATGAAAAATCTTATCTTAGTTGGAGCTTTGGAGACAAAGGGATTCAAGGTGACATTCGAAAACGCTGTAGCGAAGGTTACTAAGGGATCATTGGTGGTGATGAAGGAAGTTCGCAATCGAAATTTGTATTATCTAAAAGGAAGCACCAAGATTGGCCAAGTTGCTTCGGCTATTTCAGAAGAGGACATGAGTAGACTTTGACACTATAGGTTGGGACACACAAGTGAAAAGTCACTGCAGTCATTGTGCAAGTAGGGGCTATTGAAGGGAGCCAAGAGTGGGAAGATTAAGTTCAGTGAGCACTGTGTTCTTGGCAAGAAGACGAAGGTGAAGTTCGGGACTGCCATTCATCAGACGAGGGGCATCCTGGACTATGTGCACACAGACATTTGGGATCCCACCAAGACTGCATCACTTTGTGGTCGATATTGGTTCGTCACGTTCGTTGATGACTATTCTAGGCTTTGTTAGATGTACACCATGACGAAGAAGAGTGAAGTCCTAGATTTGTTTGTGGAGTAGAAAAAGAGATTGGAACTGCAGACTGAGAGAAAGATCAAGACGTTACGATCCGACAACGGTGGTGAGTATACTTCTGACCCCTTTCAGCAGCCATGTCGAGACGGTATAGAGTGACACTTCACAATTAGTCATACACCATAGTAAAATAGGGTGGCAGAGAGGTTGAATCAGTCTTTACTAGAGAAGATCCGATGCTTATTATCGCAGAGTGGTTTGGAGAAGATCTTTTGGGCTGAGGCACTTACATATGCGAGCCACCTCATTAATAGGCTACATTCATCTGCGATTGAGGGGAAAACCCCTATGGAGAAGTGGTCGGGAGAGCCAGCACGCGATTATGACCAACTTAAGGTATTCGGGTGCCCTGTATTTTATCATGTGAGAATAGATAAATTGGAACATCGAGCTAGGGAGGCCATATTTGTAGGATTCAAGCATGGTGTCAAGGGATACAAGCTTTGAGATCTAGTTGATAAGAAGATTGTGCTGAGTAGGGACGTCACGTTTGATGAGGCTCCTATCTTGAAGCTTTTCAGCTCTCATCAGGTGGAGAGTGACCCGACGGAGGAGATATCGTAGGTGGTGGAGATCGATGTAGCTCCACATTGTCCAGATGGTACATTATCCATTAGAGTGCCGACTAAAGTGACGCTAGGCGAGCACGACGGTGACACGGATGATACGGGTACTAATATGCAGGATTAGGGACCGACAGCTCAGGTTCAGGATTCGATTGTGGTTCGGAGACAGAGGGGAAACATACAGATGCCAGCACGGTATGCCGATACAGTTACGTATGCACTTCAGGTGAAGAGTATCGATGAGTTGGTGCCTACTATATTCAGAGAGGCTGAGCAGAGTTCGGAGGCTGATTCGTGGTAGGTGGCTATGCAGGAGGAGATGAAATCTCTTCATAAGAATGGAGCAGAGTTCGGAGGCTGATTCGTGGTAGGTGGCTATGCAGGAGGAGATGAAATCTCTTCATAAGAATGATACATGGGAGCTTGTTGAGCTTCCAAAGGGGCGGAAGGCAATTGGTTGTAAGTGGGTATACACGAAGAAAGAGGGCATTGAGGGCACTCCATTAAGGTTCAAAGCTAGGTTAGTTGCGAAGGGCTATGCACAGGAGGAAGGTATTGACTATAATAAGGTTTTCTCTCCGATGGTGAAGCATTCTTCGATTTGGATTTTTGCTAGCTTTGGTGGCACAGTATGGTTTAGAGTTAGATCAGTTAGATGTGAAGATGATATTTTTTTATGGTGATCTTGATGAAGAAATATATATGACTCAGTCATTGGGATTCTGAGCTGCAGGAAAAGATAAGTTGGTTTGCAGGTTGAAGAAATCGCTATACGGTTTGAAGCAGTCTCCTCGAAAGTGGTATAGGCGATTTGATGGTTTTCTGATTGGTCATTCGTACACTCGGAGCCAGTTTGATCCTTGTGTATATTTTCGCAACTTAAAAGGAGGTGCGTACATCTATTTATTGCTTTATGTCAATGACATGTTGGTTGCCTCTATTTTCAGATCTGCTATAGATGAGTTGAAAGCACAGTTTTCAAAGGAGTTTGAGATGAAGGATTTGGGTGAGGCGAAGCGCATTTTAGGGATGGAGATCGGCAGAGACAAGAAGAATGACAGAATTTGTTTGACACGGGTGGCTTATTTGAAGAAGGTTCTACAGTGATTCCATGTTAGCATGGATACGAAGCTAGTTGGTGTACCTTTGG